GGGGGGGGGGGGGGGGGGGGGGGGGGGGGGGGGGGGGGGGGGGGGGGGGGGGTAGACTCGGCCTACGACCCGGCCGCTAATAAATGCACGAGACACACGCAGCAACAACAGTTTGGTGCCTAGCAGTGCAGAAAAATATGCGATCGGTAACACATCCCGGCGGCGAAGCATTCTGAGGCTTATCGTGAGAGCAGAGCCTACATTCCCGCCCAAATTACCTTCCATTGAAGGGACCGGGTGTTGGCGAAGGTTTTCATGGCCTTGACCAGCTTGAACAAGCACGTACTCTCCAGCACCGCCTGTGTCGCCGCTTGGCAGAAGAGAGCCCAAAGGATAGTGCCAAAACGTACACGAGCAGCGCGGCGGTTTCGGTGAAAAATGCATGACGTTCACGTTACCTCCGCAGAACACACACGAACCAAAAAGCACTCTTTCCGAAAGCTTGGAGAGCGACTTGGTGCCTTGTCTCATACCGTATTGACGACGAAGCCGACCTCCTCGGCTAACGGTGTACGCTCCTCCGCCATCGAAGAGCACAGCACGCACAAACATACACACCAAAGACGAACAGTATCGCAGGACGCAAAAGATAATCACACCCCGCCTGACCGATTTCTTGAAGCTTGCTAGCTCTACACAATAAGAGGTGACGGTGCCTATAATGGCGACGTTGTTACTGATATATTCTCGTCTAAAGAGCTTTCCGAAAACATACATCATGTAATTCTGGCATCCTCTTCGCCGTGGAGTAGTCGAGCTTCAAAATCGGTCCAGGGGATGCGTTTCTTACTACATACCGACGACCACATACCCACCAGACTTCCCGACGGCGATGAGGGCGTCGACGCAAGGCTCGACCACGTCAAGGGTCTTCGGAAACCTGCCATGCATGGGGCAGAAAGAGCACGGGAAAAAACAAGTAGTGATGCAATTTATTCTGGAAATGAATCTGAATAACCGCATAGATAAGAAAACACGATCTTGTTGGTTTGACCCTTCCCCTTGAAGGAAGTGATACACGTTTGACAGAAGCATGGATGTCGTGTGGTGGT